CAACTAACAAAGTTGTTTTATTGCCTTTTATTCTCTGGTATGTATTTTATACAATGATTAAACAGGATAAAATATAGATATTCCTCCATTTTAATGCTAACAGTTGCTTTAGAAACTCCTAAAATCTTTATTCAATGAATCCCATTTGATACTTACAGTACTGAAGATGTGTAATATTAAAGAGCAGTGTTACTAAGACAATAATCTGTATATCCAGAAATATACTTATTTTGCTTACATGTACACATCCATACTGCTTTTATAATTGTTATGCAGTATGCCAGAATCCCACACTAAATTGTAAATTGAGTACAGTGCTGTAGAACATGCCTTGCATATGTCATTTCTGAAAAGGAATATATTCTGTTAATAATGGCTTTTTGAACTGTACAGTGAATAGACTTTTGAAAGAACAGCTACTAAATTGCTACAAGCCACAAGATTACACAGTAATTATACTGTCATAATTTCATGAGAAATCTGGAAAAATTAAGAATTCTTCTGGGGGATTTTTTCCAACTTTTTTATTTGAATCAAGAACAGAATTGTTTTACATGACCATCCCATTTCCCTTCTCCCACCCAGCCTCCCCTACATCCCCCCCAACTCAAACCTTATCTGTCACATATCTTCTCTGCTTCCCCTGGTGAGGCCTTCCATAGGGTGTCATCAGAATCTTTCGTTTCCTTTGGGGTAGGGCCTAGGCCCACCCCCCTGTGTCTTGGCTCAGGGAGTATTTCTCTATATGGACTGGGCTCACAAAGTCCACACCTATGCTAGGGTTAAATACTGGGCTTCTACAGGAGGTCCTGTAGATTCAGGGACAACCGATACAAAAGTTGTATTTTCCTTTATAGTCTTATGAATAAATTGCCTGTTTCTTGATGTAAATTCTTCCTATAGCTTATTCCTCTCTGTAATAAACTTGATTTACTTCCTACAGTTCAACACTATCTGATCATTTACTGGGAGCAATTTCTCCCTTGCATTTGGAGTTTATTGATTACATTTCATAGCTGTGGTGAGACCTGTTTCCCCACCATCAGGTTCTTAGTCCCCTGTCCTATGTAATTTCAGAGATCTGCATTCCTACAATTATCCTTATTGACAGGCATTTGGTCAGGGTTTAGGGCTCAGGCAAAAGCATTCCATGTAAGACATTCCCAGATATCCAAGGACATAGAATTACTACATGCCCAAAGTTGTTGATTCATAGCTGCCCAGATGGATAGAAAAATAAAAGTGCCCTGGTTTTACGTTACTAGCACATACAGAAGAGATAACCTAAACTAACTCTGCACTAAAATATTCTCAAACTTGTCATTCCAGTTTATTAACCAAAATTCTAGCTCAGAAATTTACCGTTTGTGTTTCCCCTGAGAAGATAGCAGTAAAGATAATCAGCTCATTTGCTCATCCTCAGGAAAATTAAACTTTCTTGAAGGCCTGTCCTGCCACTCAGGGCAGAGCACTGGAAGGTGCCATGTTCTGTTTCTTGTGCAAATTAACTCACACACTCTCCTTGACCTACAGCCTTAAACAATTGGTGCTAAAGATTTCTCCTAACAGTTTTAGTTTGTTGCTCTGTGTTTAAATCTTACCTGCTTTGCTGACCCTGAGAAACTCAAGCTTCACATTGTATTGCAAAAAGAATTACCATTGTAAAAGTATATATACCATACCCCCAAGGACTGGGAAGACTGAAAGAAGCAAAGAAGAAAAGGAGACAAAATAATAAAGAGCCACGGGTAGAAAGATCATGTTTTAAGATTCTCTTTTCCCTCAGATTTTAGTTCCTTTGCTTATTTGTTGCTCCTTCTTTTGAACCCTGAGTAAAAAATGTAGAAGCTAAAGTTTTCCATACTAAGTTTCATATGCTACAACTGAAAGGAGTACACAAACAATGTTTGCTATGATTTTTCCCAGCAGGAGACAGGGGAGGCCAAGGAAGTCTGTTCATCAAAGAGCACTTTTCCTATAATGCCCATGTGTAGTACACATATAGGCTTATGTGCATCTTTATATAGATTACAAAAAACACAGAAGATAATGAAATTATAAACATAAAGATTGAATTTCAGACATACCCTCTTTCCCTGAAAGTTCGGAGCTTCACAACTATACTGGCTTTGATAATGTTAGGAAGGATTATTTACAAAACTTTCTCTAAGTGACCAATCTTGCTCTCTGATGAGGATGACACCCAAAGTCACTTGTTCCTTTACAAAGCTTGGTATATGTGACAAATCTATATGCTAGTAGAGCTACTAATAGGTATCAAGAGAAAATAATGATTAATAAGCTCCCAATAGAATATGATCCTACTCTCTAACTCTCGGGAAATACATCAATTAGGAATCCATATTCTCTTGTTGGTACCCATACAACCTTGTAAAGTAGTTGTCCTTCTCATTAGATTGAGGATTTAAACAGCAATGAGAGAGGTAGCATTGGAGCTTCTGATGCTTTAATAATATATTTAAAAACTCTAAATTTCAAAATTATTAGACTTACAGTACAGAAAATGCTAAATGTAATAACCACCAAGAGAAAGGAGAAAAGTCGTTATCAGTTCAAGAAAACTTACGAGTTCTGGCTAACAGGAAAACTGTGGAAGCTGTGTACACCAAGCTTGGTTTAAGGTATTTTGGTCTAAGGAGTCCAGGAGGAGAGCTGAGGACTCAGTCTGATAACAATAAATCTAGGAACAGTAAAAAAAATATGTGATATAAAACTATTTTTTGTGATAAACATTTGATGAGAAATTACATTGAGAGATACAAAAATTTTTAAAATAGTTTCATTGAAATGGCATTATAATTACCTTCCCATACTCTTTCCTTCTTATAGCCTTCCCAAGTGTCATCCTTCCCATTTGTACAAATAAATGTAAAAATATAAAAATATGTTGCCTACTTGGTTATGGTGGATGATTTTTCTGAACTCACTGAGATTTTCCTACCTCTGTCTCCCAAGTGCTGGAATTCAATGTCTAAATATGTCCTTTCTAATGTGGTTACCTGTAGTTAATTTCTTGTTCTAGTGATTGTTACCCTTGTTATACCATAATAATTTTATTGGCTTTAAATTGTATTTTGGCTTACTTGGTTAAGATTGTAAAAGAAAACAATAAAGAGAAGACTGTGTTTATTGTGAGACTTCATAGTGTGTGTGTGTGTGTGTGTGTGTGTGTGTGTGTGTGTGTGTAAATTAAACTACTTGGGCTGACAGTGCTCCCCACAAAAACCAGAGATTAGCAAACTCCCCAGTCCTTTGCACAAGAATCTTTCAAATGGTTTGTTCCTCCTAATCCAAGAAACTACTAAGATAATGAATACTAGCAACACGACAATGTAGCTCTTGATGTGCCCCACCACTGAATTTCAGGAAGAGACCCTATTGTTGAAGCTGCTTTACACTTAGGACACAAGAATCAGATGATTTGAGCTACATCAAACCTCAAAGCCTCCTCCTTGTAGTTGAACTTCCATGGTATCAGAAAATACTCTGCACTCTGCCAAGGAGGGTAAGAAATTAAAACAGTCCTATCCAGCTGCAATACCAATGAAATACAGTGCCCACTCCTCCCTCTTGGGTAGGAGTGATGAGCACAGGGTTCAAGACCAGGCTAGTGAAACCTTCAGATACAGCTGACTTGAACAAGGCGGAGCTCATGGAACCCAGACTGATCCAGACCGCCTGAGCATGGGTGTCGGTGAGGAGGCCTTGGCAATCTATGGGGCCTCTGGTAGTGGATCAGTACTTATCCCTAACATACAAATGGACTTTGGGAGCCCATTCCACAAAGAGGAATACTCTCTCAACCTAGACACACAGGGGAAGGTATAAGCCCTGTTCCAAAGGCTATGACAATTTTTTTTGAAGATACCCCATGGAAGGCCTCACCCTCTCTGGGGAGCAGAAAGAGGTTAATGGGGGTAGATGAGGAGGGAAGGGAGAGGGAACTGGGACTGACATGTAAAACAATCTTCTTTTAATTTAAATAAAAATATAGAAAAATAAAAATAAAACAACAATAAAATAAATACAGTGGCCAGCCATAAAGGTGCAGTAAGTGCAGTTTGTATGATAGTGGTCACCCAAATCTGTGTAGTTGAACTTATGTCCCACTTATCTAGATGAAAAATCAAGCATGGTATTGTAAACCTAGCCAAATTCTTAGGTCTAGTGGACTTTAGAAAGGAATTAATTTATATAGTTACATATTATGTTATTTATTAAAAGCTAATTTATGTTAGAAATGTTTCTTTATTTTTTTGATATTCAGTGGTATTGTAGTGAGTCGGAAACACATAAGTGCAGGCAAGAAAAACACTGTAACTCTACATGTGGAAGAAACATTGATAAAGAAGTACTTGGAATTAAGGAGGACTCAAACAGCAGTGTCAAAATGTTGCAGTGATAACAATAAATATGTACAGTGTCTCTGTTCTCTTTTAACATTGCATCTCTAATTTAAGATGGTGTAATCAACTGTGGATAGGAATATGACAGGACCTCTCCTTTGCTTTCATATACAATAATGTAGTTCAAATTACTCTTCAAATATCAGAGCTACAATATTTTTATTCCAAATACTTAATAATACAAATCAGAAAACTGCTTTTCAAATCATTTGTCAATTAATCAGGAAGGCCATCTACAAAATATTGAAATAACCAACCAATATTGAATAAATTTACTTCCAAACCAATGTAATTGAGGCTTGCCTAAACAGGTCTGGGACAATTAAGCAAATATAAGAAACCATACAAAGGACTTTGAGGAATATTCAGGAGGTTATGTAGGTTGTTATCTGTGAATAAACTGGTCATACCAGAGAGTAGCAATTCTCCATGGGTAAGAAAGTGAGATATGCTTCATCCTTTGATACACTTCTTTCATATAATCCTTCACTATTAATAACATCTCATGTAGTGTTAATAATTGCTGATTATAGGCAATTTCCCCATGCAAATTACAGAATGTATACTCTCTTGCTAAGGAAAATGATTCTTTGTTAAGAAGAAAGTTATGTTTTCTAGTAACTTTTTTAGGGCAACTATGACGTCTTTATTTCTCAGGCTATAGATCATGGGATTCAACATAGGCACAACAATGGTATAAAACATGGATGACAGTTTTCCTTGGAGCAGGGAGCTGACTGATGATGGCTGAAGGTACATGAAAGCTAATGATCCATAAAAGACAACAACAGCCAAGATGTGGGAGCTGCAGGTGCTGAAGGCCTTGGATCTGCCCCCAGTGGATTGAATGTGGAGGATGCTAACAATGATGAAGATGTAAGAGCTAACGATGGTCATAACTGGTACAATAATGTTAAATGCACTGAAGGACAGTGCTAGTACCTCATTGATAAAAGTACCAGAACAAGAGAGCTCTAGTAATGGAAAAAGATCACAGAAGTAATGGTTTATTATATTAGCCTTACAGAAAAACACTCTTAGCAGAAAAACAGTGTGAACTGTGGCACTTAGTAAGCCCATACCATATACCCCAGCTATCATCCAAAAACAGACCTGATAGGGCATGGTTACTTTGTAAAGCAAAGGATTAGAGATAGCCACATAGCGGTCATATGCCATTACAGCCAACATGTGACATTCTGCAACAGCAAAAGCACAAAAGAAGTAGAACTGAGCAATGCATTCTGGGTAGGGGATGACATTCTTCTCTGTCACAAAGTTCACCAGCATTTTGGGAGTAATGACAGTGGACTGACAGCAGTCAATAAAGGACAGACTGCTGAGAAAATAATACATGGGTGTGTGCAGCTGAGAACTAAACAGAATCAAGATGACCATGCCCATGTTTCCCACAACTGTAACCAAATAGACTCCTAGGAAGACAAGGAATAGGGGCAATTGGAGCACTGGGTTCTCTGTTAACCCAGTGAGGATGAACTCAGTCACTGTGGTTTGATTTACTTCTTCCATGTTCTTCTGGAAACTCTATGCAAGAAGAGATTTTTTATAAGGAAGATCTTTTATAAAGAGTATCAGTTCTCCTATCTCTCAATGAACTTTGAAACAGAATTCAAATATTTTCAGGTATCTCCATTCCTCTAGCATCCTCTTTTCTATGTAAGCAGTCAGAGATTTTGTAATCCTAGAAAAAGGAAATATGCAAATTAATAATCATGTGGATATAGGTCAGTGTTAGAGCATTTGATTGCAAAGTAGTGATCATACAGATGATTACATACTTGTGACTTTGTCATAAGAATTATGTCTACTGGTGCCCATTCCTACCACATGCAAAACATTCTAGCACCCTCTTTTGACTGTTTCACATAGTTCTCATGACTTATTAGCATCATGCCATCTTTGTTAGAAAATGTTTCATACATGGTACAGCGAATACATTATGCACAACAGATTCATAACTACTATTTGTGATGAAAGAATTGAAGATTCTACAATAAAATAATGAATATGAGAATTGTCTGCCCCTTCATCTAATTCTAGATATTTAGGTGAGGAAATAGGATGCTACAAATTGGAGGATTATAAATCAACAAAATAAAACAACTACTAGTAAACACATATAATTGAGCATCTAGAAAATCCAGATTTTGTTAAAAAGAACTATTAAATGCGAGTGTCAATTTATCAAGGTAATGTTAGATAACAGAAACCACAGGATAGTTGAAGAAATTTTAAGAAAATCAGCAGCTAACCCAGGAGTTAATTGGTTTAATTTAACCATGCCATTGTGAGCATACTGTATTGTGTATCATAATTGTGCATGACTTTATTTATGAGCTAAGTAAATGAATGAAAAAAAAAAGAAAAAAATAGAACAGCTCTCCCCATTCTGGGACATTTCTAAATCATGAGGAATAGCTTCATAATGACTATAGGTTGATACTGTTAACTTGTGTTCATTTGAATCAGTTGCTTATATGATAAACCGGACTTCTTAGTTTCCCAACTACATTGACAGGAAATCTCATTTCTATTTTAATGCTTCTGTACTATAAAAACTGAGAACCATATACTGTGAAAGACTGTGTCTTCCAAATAGGGAGTGTTGGGAACTTAAGCCCCAAAACAACATACTAAAGAATTTGAAACATTATAGGGAACAGAGGTCATGTGGCAAATTGATGAATGCTGCTATGTGACCCGGTTAGTTACCACTAACATGGGGCTGATGCTGTTTATATGTTTCTTTACATGTTTCATTTGAACTCCTTTTGTTCTTCAGCCTTCTACCATTTCATGATGCACCAAGAGGGTCTTCCCTTGATATGGGCTTCATGTCTTAAACTTCTCAAACTTCAGAAATTTATGACAAAATAAGTACAGCTCTTATTGATATATAAAATCTTCCAGTGGTATTCATTTTCATCAAAACATACACACACACACACACACACACACACACACACACACACACACACACACGAAAGCACACATCCTTCTATAACTCTGAGTCTGTTCATTGGCTTGTTTTACTCTATTTCCCATGCTTTGCAAACTTCTCCAGTAAATATTGGTCTCTGTCACAGAATCCCCATTTTTTTTATTCATAAATTTTGATAGATCTTGCCATGCTGTGGGCTTTGTCAACTTTCATTGACTAACTTTTCTGCAGCCCGGTTTTAACAAGCTCCCTTAACTTCCTTCTGTTCAGCTCTGTTGTGTCATCTAAGGGTTTGTACACCTTTGGCCATGGTCAAGAATTCTTCAAACGTATTTTGCATCAGTTGCCATGGGCCTTCTTTGTCAGAGGCATATTGAAAATAAATCAAAACACCAAAATGGCTTTTGACAAAGAATTGTTTTTAACCATTAAATTGAGATGAGAAGAAATATATATACATACATATTTCATTGATTTATTTTTTGTAAATGTTCATCTTACCGGCACCACTAACAATATATTTATCACCTCCCCAAATTTCTTTGACGCAATTTGTGTCTCTTACTTTCCTGTCTTTGTATTTTGATATTTTATATAATGTTTGCCACCAATTATTTTGAATTACACAATGCCAGTATTTTAAACTTTCAACATAATATTACACTGAATATTTCTATGAAGACATTTAGAAGAACTGCTTCATGTAAAATACTGGAGATGATGAACTCATTGATTATATGCATTATGTATGTTCCCCACCCAAGTACTCACAGCCATTATTGTATTCTCCAACTCACTGAATTTTACTGCTACAGATAATTAATATAAGTGGATACCTGTGGTCTTCTTCCTTTTACAGCTGGCTTATTTTTCATTCTGAATATTCTCTAGATTCATCAATAGTTTTTAAATCACTGCAATTTGCCTTATAAGGAATAGAAACAATGAAGAGTCAGAGCTAACAAATTTACATCCATAATTTTTGTTTCATTCATTATTCACTATTTACTAATAGCAAATATAAATGAGGTGGTTAAAGTTACCATTTTTAATAGAACATTTGTTATATGAGATAATTATGAATCAAAGGTGAAACCATATCTCATAGTAATATGAATCCAAGCAATATCTACTTTTAATGTGTAAGTACTTAACATGTTATATTTTTGTTCTGCATAGTTAAGTCTGTCTTGAAACAGGATTACATCCATAATTTGATGATACCAAAATTGCTATGGCATTTATTATAAATGGTAACAAGCACTTATGGGCTAATAATCATTTAAGCAGATATTGTTAGGATATTATTATGTACCAATAATAAAACAAATTAAAAGTGTTAAGCATACAGTTTCCTGTGGCCTTCAGGATAGAGATAAAGAATACACATAATCTGCTCTTCAGAATTCTACAATCTATAAGGGCATAGGTAGGGAAACAAGACTCAGGAATATACAAGTTATTTAGGACCACAGCCACTATGATGCTAGTCCTTCCCAGGGGATGATATTAATGAAAATATTTTACAGAATCATAAAAAGTAAAACTGCTTTTCTTTTTGGCCCATATTAAATTACATTTGTAATAATTAACACCATGCCATGCATTTTGAATTAAAAATTATCCAACAAACTAAGTTAATAAACAGCTTCAAAACAACCGTAAAACAATCACACTGCCTAAGTTAAAATTAGTGTAGACAGAATTGCCTCTTGTGATTTTATGTCATAGGGAATGGGAGAATGTTTATGGAAGCAAGAGAAATGCAAACTTCTGGATCTTAACTGGTTTTTCAGTGGTCATGACAATAAGGGACTTGGGATAATCTCACATGACCACACCCATACATAAAGATTTAAAGCAGTTTTCTGTTCTATTGCTGTGAAAAAGATAATGGCCAAAAATTACAAAAGCAAGAATTTATCTAGGGATTTGATTAGAGTTCTAGAGGTTTAGTCTATCCTCATCCTGGCCGGTAAGGTTGCATCAGGCAGGCAGGTGGGCAGGCCACTTGGGCAATAGTAGAGAGCTACATTCTAATACAAAGGCAGGGCAGAGAGAGGGAGATTAGGCCTTACATTGGCTTTTAAATTCTAAAAGCCCATCCCCAGTGACACATCTTCTCAAGCTAGGCCATATCTTATTTCAAAAAGATAATGACCTTAATCCTTCCTAAACAGTCCACCAACAGGGATCCAAATATTCAATATATAACACTATCTTTGCCATTCTTAATTCAGTTCAGGACAGGTATCTAATCCTAACTGATTAATCCTAAACATACACATATGAGCTACACTGAATGGACTCATCATGTTCTGTGTGTATATGCATGCATATATACATATATGTGTATGATATATATCATACATGTATGTATAAATGTAATAGTAATTAAAGAAGTCAATAATTTGAAAACTGTTGGGTAAGAGAATAGGAGAAGTAGTAGGAGAAAGGGAATGTCTGGAATAGTAAAAATACAGAGTATTCATCTATGAAATTCCCAAAACAAATTTAAATTAAAATAAACATTAATAAAAGTGTATTAACCAAACCTATTTTAAAAATATGTGAGGTTCTTGGGAAGAAAATGGGTCTTGAGAGACAAAATGTCAAACATGTCTAGTAACAAGAGAATATAGAATGGAGTAGAGGAGTCTACGATATTTAGGAGCTAAAGACCTGTGTCTGGACATACCTCTCTTCCTTCCCAGAAAGATAAATACTGGGTGCATTCTTCACATTAGAAGGAAAAGTGGCCTTGAGCATGTGAGGGCAGAGTATACATGATGATCTGTTGAGCCACTATTTCTTAAAGCTGAATTTCAAAGTCACTTGTTGTTCTACTAAGTTCGGTCTGTATAAACATTTTATATGCAGACATAGATAACAAGAGATTGGTTAGCAAAAGAACAGTGGGAATTACCTCTGTCTAGAGTCTCATCCCTTAAGTTTCATCTCCAGGGAAATCAAGAACCAGAATTATTATCTATTTCCCAGCGGTTCTCACCTGTGTAATATAGTCCAGTAATAGGATTTCTAGTTCTTTTTAAAGTATAGACTTATTAAAAGTATCTAAGAAGCATTAAACTATACCTGAAATCTTAAAGATATACACTAAAGAGATTTTTCTAAAAATATTTTCTTCAAAAGAAAAAAAATTGTAGCAAGGAAAGCAACTGGAAGTATTTGTACTTTGTAACTCTCCTTGACAAATGTGCTTAGATAGTATAAGAGAGCTGCCAAATCAGTTTACTTGGAATATTTTACCCAAGAATTGGATAAAATCAGTTTTCTTCCCATCTAAGTTATAAAATTTTAGATATTTAAACAATGCACATAAAGTAGCAATGAGGGAATCCTAGGAGACTTGGGGTCTAGGGTGATAGTTAAGGCAGAGACGTCAAGAGCTACTGAGTCTTACTAAAGAAATTGATTATATTCCAAAAAGAGAAGAATGTGTGCACTTTTTCTTGTTATCAAGAACAACATTAAGAAGTTCTGAGGGCGGCTGGAATAGAAACTTGAGAGATCAGTTGGTGTGAGGCAGAAGGAGAGAGTACTGAAA